ATGCTATATTTGATCATCCTTATAAATTAGATATAACTATTTAAAATAAAGTACTTCGTTGAAGATCTATATATATATATCTATATATATATACACCGGCATTGTACATAATTACATAAGTTATAACATAATATAGTATACTTCATTATATCATGTAATAAAATAAAGTAAAAACACTAACAAAAATTGTTCTTTTTCTATATTATGTTCCTTAATAATTAAGCAAACCTCGGTATAGAATAATACAATGTAATCTTCTGATGTGCAATCTGCTTTCTATTTATACTATCAAACTCATATTGAAAACTACACTTTATGAACTATTAATTATAAAATTTTATTTATTTTTTCCTTATGTACAAGTCATTAATAAATCCATATTGTTAAATTTCATTTACCATTCATAACGTTATATTATTGTACCAGTAAAACTTGAATTGACCAATCAAACAAAGTTAATAATAGTCATAGGCTATCTAATACATAGAGTGTACAGAGATAGTGTATTATAAGTTCAAACGTACTGTGCGATATGTGCTACGGATCAATAAGATTGTAAATAATAGCTACATTGTCACTATGCTTTTGGACAATAAATTTTTTCTGGTTAAGCGTTTGTTACAGAATGTGAGGTAATATTAAACATTTAATTGCATGAATTTTCATTCAGAACATGTAAATATTATGTACATTTTCTTTATTAAAATTAGCTTATTTATGTCTAATTGTTTACAGACAATTCCATAGCTCAGGATTCAGAACAGGCTATGAAGGACCTGGTAAAACAACAGTGAACATTATTAACGACACTGACGAAAAACTTTTAATAGACAGATGTCTTTCAGTATGAAAATATATTGTAATATTATATAATCAACTTGCAGAATTGCATATTTTTAATTGTCTTATTTTTACAGATAGGATTTACAATGAATAATAATTCTTTAACAATAGGTCCAATTGCCATATTTCCTGAAACTGTTTTGTCTTGGAATGTAGGTTGTACAAAGGATATAAATGAAGCAAGTTTATCCTTGTTCACTATTCTGAAACCAACATTGGATATCCTAATTCTAGGACTTGAAATTAAATGCGAATATAATGAAATCAGAGAATTGAAAAAAATATTATTGAAGTACAATATCAAAAATGAAATATTTCCAGTGCAACAAGCATGTGGTGTGTACAATTTTCTAGTTTCTGAAGGTAGATATGTTGCAGCAGGTTTAATACCTCCAATACATTCAAAAATCTTAAAACCAGAAAAAGAGATAAATAAAGAATTAATTCAAGACAAAAAACTGATAAACTCTACTTGATGAAATCTCTTAATATTCTAGTTTTATGTTGATAATAATACTAAAAGACTAGTTTCTA